AATGCAAAGTTTGATGCTTATCAGAAGAGGCACCAGAAAAGTCAGGTCTTGGGCTTTTCAGGACAGGGCCACAGCTCTAAACCACATGCCACCCTCTTAACCAGATGGGTTCATTGCTTACATCTGCCCACTGAGCATCAGCTGTTTGAGCAACCTCGTCTAGCAGAAGGTGTCCCTGCCCATGGCAAAGGGTTGGAACTAGGTGGTCTTTAAGGTCCCTTCCAATCCAAACCATTCTGTGATTTGCTGACACAGGCTCATACGTTTGTACACTGCACAGGTTCAATGCTCAACAGTCCATGCAAGCAACAACAAAAAGGTTGAAAAAAACCCCAAAAATACTCACTTTGTTAAACTCATTTCCATTTAGCTGTCTTACGTAAACACGTATTTTTATTTCAGGGATTCTCAATCATTTCAGACATATTAAAATTTTGCAATGGCAAGATACAACCACAGGGAGCAAATATAAACCTACTGATAGTAGATCTGCTTTTTAAATTACTTTTTGTGGACTCCTCAGAAAGTAACCACAAGCCTCAGGTTGAAAGCCATGAATTTGCTGCTTCTGACCTTGTAAAGACCTCTGCTCACCTCAAAACTTTATGCCACAAGCTTTATATGGGTCTTCAAAAGCCTACTTTATTTTTAAAACCCACAACACATACAGTAAGCTGAAAAATATCCCTGCATATTTACTGGTAAGCAGGGTTTAATTTTTACCAATGCTAGCAGTTCACTGGATTGTGTTACCGTGATTTTTCGAGGACTACACAGCAATTTGTAGGAAAAACATCAGTCTGACATTTCAACCAAAGCCCGTAATAGAAACCCCAACATTATACTTAGAAAAAGAAATCAGCAAAATTCCCACCTGAACAAATAACCCCAATCCAAAGAACTACTGAATGGATAAAAGGCCTGTATTCATTTGCTAAGTGATGAAATACAATAAAAATGTGAAATTAAGTACTTAAAACTACTAAATAGTCAGAATTGTTGTAGACCAAGGCTATTTTTTTAGTCTAAATACCATATGGGTGGATGTTTTTCTTTCATTTAGTGGAAACAAAAGTCATGCTGTGTCAGCACGCAGACACCTAAATAAATCAAGGTTAGTTACATACATGTTAAAAACGCTGGAGAGAAAAGGACATTCCTTGACAAATGCACTCTTCCTGCAAAGCTGCTGAAAAAAACAGGCAATCAGGTTAAATGGGGGAAAAAAAAATAGGAAATACAGGAAAAGAGAAGATCTGATGAATTTATGAAGTCAAATTATAAAAAGTATGAAAAAAAGAAAGAAGCCCACACTGAAAAAAACAACTCAGAAAAAGAATGAGAAAAAAGTACCTATCCATGTATAAGTCTCCCCCAGTTGAAGCATGCAAGGATGAATAGAAGTTTATCACAGAGATGTACTGAAAATATTAATTGTGCAGCTCACTCAAGGGTGTTTTTTAAATTAAACATAGGTACCACAATGTCCTATCAAGAACTCAAGAAGCCTTCTAGAAGAAACTTATGTTACTTCTGAAAAACAAGTTGGGGCTACATTGTAAAACTAGAGAACCACAAATTTGGCAAATGTAAAAGAAAAGTAGATGACTGAAAGCAGAATTTGTTGGTATTATATGTAATGCTAGGCTGCCCCCTTCAAGCATGAACTTGAAGGATTCATGTCCTTTCTTGAGCAAATGTTTCAGTATTTGTAAACCATCATGAAAAGTGAAACTACAGAAATATGAGGTGATCTATCAATAACTAGTTTTCACTCAAGTGTAAAGATATTAGACATGAACCCATTGCTGAGTCATGGCAAGCTCATGACAGTGAGAAATAGGCACAGCTGATGTGCAAGTCTGTCAAACTGCTTCTGAAAAAGTTCAAAATGCCACACTTAAGGAAGGGAATCCTTTGGCCCCTTTTCTCCCATAGCTCAAAACATAAGAAGATAAACAAATGCTATCTCTACTTACTTCTCCTGTAGATCTTGGAATGGTATTACTGTGGTAAAAAAAATTAAAGTACACACACAAGAAAAGCAAATCTCAAATCCTTCTTAAAATATTTATGTAGAGTTCAGGAGATGCCCATCATCTCCTGAGCTGCATCCCACATTAAAGGTGATTTTCCCAAAGCCTGGCCTTCAGAACGTTCTTCCTCTCAGACCATACTCATACATAAGTATGAAATGTGATACTTCACTTTAAACCTGATTCTGTACTGCCTTACCTGGCTACAACTCATGAGTCAGAAATAAAGAGCAGCTCAGAGACAGGGGATTAAATTAGCTGGAGTAACATTAGATTAAGTGGTAGCATATAATCAGACCAGAGGATAAATCAAGATCTTCTATACAGCCAGTAATAGAGAAGTGCCTAAAGCTCACAAAATATGTGCACATTTCACAAACAAATCTGGACAACCTTGGTTAACGTTGCTGTGTAGCTGCAGTGACTGTGCATACACTGTGAACAACCTGCATATCAAGTGCCTCTCTTGTAGCCATACCCCTCTCCCTCTCCTGAGAAAACAAATTTATCCAAAATAGGAAACTATAAAATTTGAATTGTAGCATTCACATGCCACATTGGTACAACTGATCTTGCATCACAAAGCCTGTGGGGACATAATATGTTTCAATGTAAAAAGGAACAAAAAAATATTGAAAGTTTGACTCCTGGAGAACTCCGACCTATATTACTTTCAAACTGATCAAATTCTACATTATTTCAGGAAAGCACTACTTATTCAACAATGTAGCAACTGGTTTTGCTATGATCTGGCAGGGCAGGGAAGGAATAAAACAAGTAAGTCCCAAGAGGCAACAGATTCTACTAGAAGACATAAACAAAGATAAACTATAGGTTTTTCTGTGTATCTGAATTACTTTGGTATTGAACAGCATGCACATCTTGCATTTCCTTCTACTGGCTTCAGACCTATGCTATAATTTGATTAAGCCAGTTCTCTAAGGCTTTCCTGGTTTTCGGAAGAAAGAAATTTGTGCTCTGCAGTAGAATATCAATGAAATCGTAATACACTACCCTAGCAGTTGGAACTGTATCTTGTAAACTATCAAATGAACATAGCAAGTGCTAGAAAAATTGAGAAGAAACTGCTTTCCCAGCTCCCCCCCTCACCTCCCATGTAAATTAGAGCAATTTGCTTTCCATTTCATACTGCCGCCATGAAAACAGGAAATACTGCACATTTTCTTTTGTAATAATGAATTCTGAACCTTCAGACTACTCTCTATCTCAGCCTAGGCCCCTAAAAGTAAATGGCCAGAGCAAGAAACAGCCCTCTGCCTTTAAAAGCATTCATACATCTTTCTTTGCTGTGAGGACAGTACTTAGCGCCCCCAAAGCTCAGGCCATCACATCATTAATTCTGTATTGCCCTCCTCAACAAGTATTTCTGGACTGATAGGTGGGGAACTAAGAATTATACACCCCAAAGCCTTTCCCATGGACAGAACTGAGAAATGCAGTTTTACGTTTTAACAGGCAAATGATAATGCAATAGGGAAATATATAGTCAAACACAGCAGAAAAATAGGTGCCTCATTCCCTGCAAACTAACTTTCATGAAAGCAGGCAGTAGAAACCTGGGTCAGTGCACTGCACTGCTGATGAGTCACAATTCATTCGATCAAACTCTTTTGCCTCTGCCTTTATAGACATTTGCAGAACAACTCTGCATAATTACCTGATTTCCCATTTGTATGTTTTTTTGCCAACTGAAATAATTTCAGATTTCCTTTGTCTGAGGTTTTATGGCCTTGGGATTAAAGTACATTCAGCCATGTTAGACAAGTCACTGTAGCCCTCTCCTGTCATTGTGTAATAATCATAACACTTAAATCATAGTAGAAAGCATTCAGTGTAGTTCCACAAGATGCACTACATTACACTACAGTGAAAGGCTGTAAAAGACTGATTACCAGAAATCACCATTCTTCAGCACATAGTCTCCAAGCTTACAGCTGTGCTTTGCCATGCAAGGCTGAAATCATCTCTCCCTTGCAAACTCCATAGCAGATACTTTTGCCCCTTTCTTCTCCTGCTTTGTATAAAATACCAGGACAAAACCATTCTGCTGCTCCTCAGTGTAATTTGTATTTTAGATTCTTTCTACTCCTTCCCTCCCACCAAGAATGAAAAGCCTGGATACCAGTGTAATTGTAGACTACACATCCTAAATAACATCTAACTTCTCTTCAAGTCAGACACTATAGTCCAGCAAATGTGCCTAGTAAAGCAATGCCTAATAACATGTCACAGGCTTTGTATTTACCTGAAATTGTAGGATCTCAGCAATTCTCTTGTCCTGAGGTAATTTTAGTTGTAGTAACAAATGTCTAAAAGTAAGGTGGCAATTCCCAAGCTTGTTTTAGCTTCATTCTATGAGTATCATACAAGCAAAAATCTGACAAACTTACATAGTCATTGCTTAACAGTCTATATGTTAAATGGTGGCAGGAGGGGTTAACTACAAACTTTGACTAATTTTTAAAGGGTGAAACTGGTAAAATTTTACCTGGGAACCAAAACACAGACCAAGTAAGCAGACTGCGACAAAATATGAAAGTGCTGTAACCATGTCAGAAAAGGAAAAGTCACAGAAGTAGCAGCAGTACCTCACTGCAAATCAGCAAAGACAAGGGGAGAACTTGCCTCACCTTCCAAGGAAAAGGCATGCAGCAATGCCATGGGTTTCTGAGCTCACATCAGATGGCACAGAAAAGTGTAAAAGAAGCCTGACTGAAAAATCTCCTTTCCCATCTCACTATAAGTTAATGAGGTCTAACCAGATTTAACCAAGCTAGCCAGACCAACTATCCCTAGAAACAGAGACAGTCTTCCTAAATCAGAGAGGTTAGGAAAAATTATGGTTATTTGCAAAGGCTTATACCAACAAGTGTTCAGTAAGAACACACTTCTGTAGTCTTGTCTTCACATCACAAGTTAAATAAAGACACATCAAGGGCTGCATTTGTGTTAATGAATAAGCAACTTGTTATATTTGCTTGTGTCATATTCAACTTCAAAAAAATACACATTCAAGGTTGAGGTGCAAAACATTGGTATCATCATCACACTCCATCTGCATCAGTTTGATATATTCAGCTTTATGCCTACTCAGCACACATAATGGACATTTGGGAACCGCGGCTCATTTGAGAAGCCACTTGCACACTGCTTCCAACACCACTAACAAAAGCCACATAGGCTCAAAAAGAATGCACATATTAAGTTCATCAATCTGAGCATCTTAACTAGTACATACATTCCCCTTAACAACAGTGAACCGTGTTTTATCCCATTTTCCACACTGAAGTTTTCTGATTCTCATAGAACTATTTCATAATTTTTACTAACTACATTAAGCCACTTCACTACACCTTTCACAAACCTTTGTCTGCTTTCAGATAACCGGTGTATTTCATTTATTTTAGTGACTATTTATCTCCATATCCTGGGGCTCTGTTCACTCTTTAAAAGGTGAACTCAAAGCCAAAAATTTCAGCTCAAAAACAAATTAGATTTTTAGAATTTTGTCTCTGGTGAAATTTCCAATCTTTTTGTTTCACATTCTCTGGAGTGTTTCAAATCATAGGCCCACACAGTGTCTATTCCCTCTCCAGTAGTATGATCTGGGATCCAGCAAGGGAAAGGAAAACGACAGGCAATGATTCTGGCATTACATTCCAGTTCTTCTTCCAGCTTCTTCTCCAACTGTGGCATCTGTTGAATAACAAGAAAAAGCTTTCAGAAGCAGTAAAAACCAGAACCATTCTCTTCAGAATCTAGTTCAAGTATTTAAGAGAAGTCCAAGTTTTGAAGAATTTTTGGAAAAAGAAATGTAGGAAAGTATTCATGACATACATTTTGCCTTTGATGCACTGACAAAGAACATCTGAAACTAGAAAATGGTTATTGTGCCCTGATTGGCAAGATCAAGAAAACTGTAGCTCTAAGTTCTAAAAATACTATCAAAACCCCATAAATAAGCCCTTAGATAACCACACATTAAGTAAAGACTTTGCATGTCCCAATTTATCATTCTCTTCAGTGGGATTCTCTGTAGAGAGAAGAATTTATGATACCCCAAGTCGCATGAATTTGTATATGATACTCAAAGGCCAATGCATCTTGTAGTTTCCAGTCTAACCCCAAGACATACCCTGGGACACTCAAAACATTACACAGCCAACAACCCAAAGCAAATATACTGCTGCCACTGTATGGCAAAGTACTGGCATGTTAAATACTATAGAACTTGAACTTTGTAGGGTCTAGCCTGTTAATATATGCATGTAAGTTGCTGCACTGCATGAAACAGCATATAGAATCATAGGATGGTTTGGTTGGAAGGGACCTTTAATGGTTATGTAGTTCCAATCACCTTGCCATGAGCAGGGACATCTTCAGCTACATCAGGTTGCTCAGAACCACATCCAGCCTCACCTTGAATGTCTCCAGGGATGGCGCATCTACCATCTCTCTTGGAAACCTGTTCCAGTGTTTCACCACCCTCACTGCAAAACTATTATTCCTCGTATCTATTCTAAATCTACCTTCTTTCAGTTTAAAGCCATTCCCCCTTGTCCTATCACTACATTGCCTATTAAAAACTTTGCCCCCATCTTTCTTATAAGCCCCTTTTAGGTAATGGAAGGCTACTATAACATCTCCCTGGACCCTTCCCTTCTCCAGGCTGAACAACCCCAAATCTCTCAGGTGTTCCATTCCTCTGATGATCTTCGTGGCCCTCCTCTGGACTCATTCAAGCAGGTCCACATCCTTCTTACATTAGGGGTCCCAGAGCTGGACACAGTATTCCAGGTTGGGATCTGTGTCAATCTGTCAGCTCACATCCAGCTTTTCATTCACCAGTACCCCTAAGTCCTTCCAGAACGGCTCTCAGTCCCTCCACCCCCAGCCTCTTGATACTGACGATTGCCTCAACCGAGGTGCAGGACATTGCACTTGGCCTTGTTGAACTTCTTAAGGCTCACATGGGCTCACTTACTGAGCTTGTCCAGGTCCCTCTGGATGGCATCCCACACCTCAGCTGTGTCAACTGCACCACTCAGCTTGGTGGCATCTGCAAACTTGCTGAGGGTGCACTTGATCCCACTGTCTGTGTCACTGATAAAGATATTAAACAGTACTGGTTCTAATAACGCCTCGTGAGGGATATCACTCATGACTGATCTCCATCTGAACACTCAGCTGTTGACCACTATCCTGTGGATGCTACCACCCAACCAATACCCTCTCCACTGAACAGCCCATCCACCAAATCCATACCTCCCCAATTCAGAAAGAAGGATGAAATGATGCTGTGGGGGACTGTGTCAAAATACCACTACACAACTCCTGCTGGTTGAAAACCTGTAGTCTAGCTTTCCTCCATTTGCAAAAACTGAGCGGATACAAAAGTCAAGGTAAATATCACTACTCTTCCAAAGAGAAACACGCATCCCAGTCAGATACTCTGTCTCCAATACTTAATTTGCAAATTCTGCTATGGATTAAATGAGAAATGAATTAACACATCTAGACTTCAGAGAAATTTCTTGTCCATGCCAGATACTGATTATGTTCAGGGGGGAGAGGGTAGAAAAAGAAGAAGAAGAGAAAAAAAAAAAAAAAAAGGTGGGGGGGGAAACTTAGCCATTTTTGTCCTTTGGAAAAAATTGACATTATGTTTTATCTGATCAGTGCACACCCGTTAGAATTCCTTTATTTCTTATGCACTGTATCTATCTCAGGGAGTAGTAACAGCAGCAAGCTCCACAGGTTACTTCTATTACATGTAAAAGTCTATTTACCTGATGTCTAAATGTTATGTCATGATATCAAAAGGTTAAAAGAACAGCAATTATTTACAAATACAAATCAATATAAGTCACAAATGACACAAAACATACGAAAATTTCACCAAAAAAAAAAAAGCAACAGAACATTATTAGAAAACAAGACTGACTGAAGAAAATGTATTTCCCAAGGCTGCAGATAGCTTCCACTATCATATACACACACAGGGTGCCTTTGATGTAACATCCTATTATAGCTACATTTAAGCCCACAACAAAGTATTTTAGGAAAAATATAGTCATAGATCTAATACATCAGAGAGTTACCTCTGGATATTTTTGAGCATTCTACGCTCTGATTTAATCCATACAGCAAATACTTTAAAACATTTTTGCTACTGCACTTAAATAAACTAGAAAAATAAGCCCACTTCGGAATCTCAAACCAAGCTGAGACTCTGGAAAATGAAGGGGTACATTATTACAGAAATTACAAATACAGATATAGCCTATTTTTTAATGAGTAATTATAAAAATTAGTGACACCGCAGGTCTACATTAGCTCAAATTACAAAACATCATTAATAGCTCAGGCAAAAAAGAATCATACCCTTGAACTAAACAGTCAAACTAGTTCTTAAGCTAAATCTATCAGTAACATTAGGTGTTATAATCATACTATCTCTTTTACCAAGCCAGGTCAGGGTTTTTTTTGTATGTCTACACAGATATACAGCTTAGTAAACCTTCTGTACAGTATATAATCAGTTAAAACACAGAGAACCTGAGAACATGCACACCTGGTAAGATTTCTGTCATCCCACCCTGAGCAAGTAAAAGCCCCTGCAATCACTCATAAACCCACCTTTCCCCACGCGTTTGCAAGAACAAGAGAGGTCTTAGTTTTCTCTGAAAATCAGTAACTCCACATTCTGTAAGCAAATCTTGGATATGAAATAAAAGCACTGCTTAACAACATCAAATCAGAACAGTATTATTAAAAAAGCTGAAGAGACCTTTTGCCACCTTTTCAGTAAAAACTAAAAAATGCATTAAAGTTTCTAGAAAATCAATTTAATCATTCAGGAAGCTAAGCATTCACAACTTCCAAAGTAAATTTAAAGGGGATCATGAGCAAACAAATGCTCAGGAAATGCACTAGTTCATATGTTTGGATCTATCACATTTATGACAGTATTTTTATTGGAAGAATTTAGCCCAGTGTTTACTGAATTTACTGAAGTTATTGTGAGCCCTAGAGCTACTCTTTCTATCACAGCTGTTACTAATTTATCCCACTTTATACTATTACATTTAAAGTTAAGCCAGTATTTCTGCTGGGTTTACTCACATTTTCCCAAGGCACTTGTTTATTTCTAGTTTAGTAAAATTTCTTCACCTGCACTTTTCCCCTCAGTACAACTGCAGAACTTCTGACTGCGAATTCAAATATTTATACTGCCCCCTCCCGGAACTCGAGCTAGAGAGCACCTAACATCCAAACCTGGTAACATCTGTAGCACAACGTTAACAGTTCCCACTGATATGCTACCACAAAAGTAGGGAAAAAGAAAAATAACTATTTTAACTTCAGTTTCCAACATGTGTTACGATTTAAATCTGAAGTACGTATCTTAATTCCAATGCTGGTAAAGAAAAAGCAGAGAATAGTGAAGCTTTATTATGCTTCTTGTTGCATCTTTATGCTACTACTACTACAGAAATATTAGCAGTGTACGTTGTACAGTATAGCATAAAACTCTTCACTCATTTCATCTCACATTTGCCTTAGCAGAGAAAGAAGCAACACAAAAACGTTTATAGGATATTTCTGTTTCATTTCTCCATCTGCATCCAACCTATGTACAAGATTCCAGTAATAAAATACCAAGAATATTTCAAATATTTAAGAAATTTTCCTCTTTTACAGTAAAAAAAACAAAACACCAAAACACCTACATCATCTGACAAAATTTATCGAATGTATTAGTAAAGCAGTCACTGGAACTCAGTTACTACACCAGTTTTGAAGAATACTTTTTCCGGAGGAATACAATGAACATAGGCGTATAAAGCCTTCCTAAAAGGCAAAGAATTTGTGGACTTGTTCTCTAAGCAATTATACTTGAAACATTTCTAAACTTTCATAGTCTAACATGGGCAAGAGATTATTACAATATATCTGCTGCTGGCCTAATTGAGCTAATCTGGGTTTTGGAGATTATGGGCAAAATTCAATAGTCTCCTCTAAGAAGGTTCCCAAAAATAAGTTGCAGCCAATATCCTACTCCATCCTTTCCCTGCAAACTCCTCATTTTTTCAGTATGAAAAATTAAAATTGTCAAGAATCAATCTATCACCTTCCCTCCAAGCAACTTGAGCACATCAGTTTTCCTTTTGGTTATGAACTAATGGACAGAAGAAAACATGCCTATTTTCAGAGCTCCAGTCTGCATACAGTCACAAGTTTTATCAGGTATTATCATGGACATTAACAAGCAACAATGAAATATCAAAATATTAGTATTAACTACCTTTGACATTTTACAAGTTAGCACATTTATCTGCAAAATGAAGCAACACCGAATGCCTCAGCATTAAAATAATTAAACAATGCAAAAAAAACTTACCATTTGAGGCACCCCAAAAACGACGACATTTCTATAACAGGAAAAAGAAACCTAAAACAAAATTTGGGAACAAGTCTTGATGAAAATGGCGTTTGTATTAGAAGAAGCTCTCACCATTCTTTGCCCTAATCCCTGTAGTTGCACTCCTTTCACCAGAGATTCAGACCAAAAATTAGAAAAATGTCCCATATCAACTTTTCATCACACAAATTTCTAAACAGACAACTTTATATTGCTGAACAGCAAAAAACTTTTACCGCCTGGCCAAGAATACAGCACTAATTCTAGTAGCACAGAAAGTGTTAATTTAGAACATGATTTTACTTATGGCTTAGTTTTTCCACAGCTCCTGCATGTTAAAACGATGTATGTTTCAAGTTTGACCACCCCTCTTTTGTTAAATGTTAGCTAGCTACAAGAACTTGCCAAGCATTCCAGTGCCTGAGTTCTCCCACTCAGTGCCATTAAGTTTTCCAATGCTCCCTTCTGAAAAAAGAAAAAATAATACACTAGCACTTTTCCTCCAAATTCCTACTACCCACTTGGGAGAGGCCCACATAAACATGACCCAAGAAGGCACGCCACATTGAAAAAGCAACTGTGACTCAAATGATTATAAATTGTGAAAAAAATCTCAGTCACATGTAAGTTACCTTAAAGCAACACTCAAAACCAGGTAACACACTACACAGCTAGAAAAGGACAAACATCTAATGAAATGCCAGGTGAGATTGTGATCGCACACATTAGGTGAATAAAGTCTTGTTACTGAGCCCACAGTATCAGCTCTCAGCAATACCTGACGTTACAGCACCCCACATCAGTCATCAGGCACAATCATGCCATAATACGTTCAAGGAGTCTGTACTGAAAAAGGACAGCACTTCACCAAAGCACAAAACCAGCAGAGAAGCTGATTGTCCTTCGAGTTTGGTTTCTACAGGCTCAAGTACTTTTCTCAAAGCCCAGTACAGCATCTTGTGGCCAGTCAGTATTCTGGTTCTTTCAAGCAAGTATTCCTAAACTATGGAAATCTCTCAAATAGCCCAGATTTTATATTTCACCACCTACCTTCCATAAGTCTGAAATATAAAATCTGGTGTTGTGATGTACCCCATCTCTCCAAGCACGGTACCTGGAGTACCAGACCAGCCAGGGATTTAATTCATAGCCAACAGCTTTGAAACCCATTTTTGCAGCTGCTATCACCTACAAGGAAGAAAGTAAATCTTCACTTAGAAGCAGAGAAAGTGTATTCACGCACAGTGTTATTTACAATATAAATCAAAGGAATGCACATTCGTATTTCATACAGATTTCAATGCCCAAGAGATTAGCAGTATAGTGAACAAAAACTCAAACTACGTTTTAGTAATACGACTAGACCCATTGAAATTAACAGATACATTCACATGAACAAAATGAACCACTTAAACATTCACAGGACAAAGCTATAAGCCTGTAGTATGTCTATGATTAGCATAGGAGTTTAATTTAACATATTTATGACACTGCCTTGGAGCTGCAATACTGAAATTGGCCATAGAGAGAACAGAGAAATACACAAACAGAAAAGCTCAAAGTGAGACAACTTATTTGAAACGCAGTGATGGGTTGGCACTTGAGAGACACCTGAATCTGAGACAAAATGACCCACCAATAAAAAGAGCTTGAAAATAAACTGCTGACCTACATTTAAAAAAAGGTAAAATTTAAATGTAGGATAAAAAGAAATTGAAAAAGAAACCCCACATATAAATCTCATAGTAGAGCTTTCATCCACTGCTAAGCTTCATATATCATTTTAAAAGGCAAAAGGTAATTCACATTGATTTTTAAAGACATTTCTCTAAATTAGACCCTAAAATTTAGAATTGATAAGCTGTATTTGAAGTGTCTTCAAACAAGATCAAAACCTGAGATTTTAAAAAAAGTTTCTATTCTCATAGAAACATCACCAGTACGCAGAATTAAGACTTAAGTCATTAATTTAAAAGGCTACTGCCAGGTTCTCACCAGGAGAAGCCTGATGAACTATGAATTACAGAACAGGCAAGGTGCGATCAGGAAGTAAACATCTCAAACAGCATTACCTGGACAGTGTGTTTCACACTATTAAAATAGCACATCTTTCATCATGCACACGGCACATGCAAATACACTAGAAAAATCTGACATTTTTACCAAGCTCGGAAATAAAAAAATGATCATATTTATCCACTGGTCACACCGAAGCACCAACTATTTAAAAACTCCTGAACAGAAGCTCAGCTTTTTTTAGGACAGACACATTAAGGCAACACCAAGTATTCAATTTTAGGCCTGGCTCTCCAAGCAGTTTTCAGACTCCATTTAAGCACACAAACACAAATAAATATATACATGCATACAAAAATCAGAATTAAACACAGAGTGCCTCAACTGAGTGTCAGGTCAGACTGCAGAGAAGAGAGAGCATCAAAAACTGCAGCTCACATACCTACATGCTTTTCTCCGTTTCCTATTTGGGTACAATTCCTTCTAAGCCACCTTAAGAGATCTGGATTTCCAAATCAAATTTGGTTGATTCAATCACATGAACTATGGATGAAGGCAGCATTCAAGAACTTACTCATTTCCATCAAAACCCACTTCACGCATCATCCTGTTACTAAACCTGACTTGAAACAGATGGTTATGGTTCAAAAAACATCACAACTACAAAAAAAAAAAAAGACACCATTGCCTACTACAGCCTTACCACTTTTCCAAATCAGAGTTCAGACAATGTCCTGGAAGCACAGTATTGATTTGACTTTAGCGATTCTCACCATTTCTCTTGGGAATTCTGCTAGTTTCACATTGATTTTTGAAGCAGGGCAGCCAGAACTGCACAAAGGTGTGAAAACTACAGCACTAATGACACCAGAATTATTATTTATGTAATCCACTGCTCATCTCTCATTCTTCGTTCCTCTGTCACCTTTATACAATAAGCATAGAGCTGCAGCTCCAAATGCATAGTGCTATTTAATCTCAAAACATCACATGCTGCAGCTATAAACTTGGGTGGAATCACAGCTCTTTGACAATCATAATACCAATACTTCCAATGTATCTTTTCACATGAATTCAAAGCAATCCCCTCAAGCCAAGAGGATGAGTTCATCACCTTATACGTGTGGTCAAGCTGCAGGCAAGACTGAAGAAAAAAGACATTGCTCACTCACCTAAACTGAATATGAACCCTTCTCAGCTTTGAGCCTTTTTCTAAGGCTCAGACAAAAACACTGGATGCCAAAGACAAAGACATTCATAAATATGAGAAAACAACATCAGCCATGGCTGGAGCATCTGACACTTTGAGAGGCAACATACAAGGAAAGTGATGCCCAAGACTTACAATACGGCCATCCCCGCTACCAATGTCAACTAGGGAGCCACTTCTGCTTTCTAACATTCTCAGCACATTCTGGATCTGGGTGGAAGTTGCAGGAACAAAGGGCAGGCACACTTTCCTCAGAGCCGGCATCACGAAGGGTATGACCACAGCATAAACAGCCACTAAGGTCCCACCAACACCAGCGGTGACCCACAGCCCCCAGCTCCTCCCTGTTGATGCGCCCTTGCAGTCGTCCTGCGGGGCTGCTGCATGGCTCTCTTTTTCTACCACCTTGGACATCACACCTAAAAAGAGACAGTGAAGAGTAATTATCTAATAGCTTTATTACGTGCTTAACACAAAGCGGTACTGGGATATCAGGAAGGAAAAAGAGTAACTACTTACACCCCTTTGGGGGATGCCAAGACTCTACGGAAAACGTCACTATTATTGCTTTTTAGAGGCTAAAGCGTGATTTTTCAAGCCATATAAACCCGTAATTCCCCCCACCCGCCTGGAAGCAGAGCACCCTGGAACAGCTCAGGGACGGCGTGAGGAAAGACTTCCCCGTCACGGACAACCGGGAGCCCGCTTCCCTAACCGTTCCAGAGTAGTTATGGTTTTTCCTCCCAGAAATTACTTTTCTTCATAGCACAACGCACCCCTCTACCAGCTACCCCAAACCACAACCCCGAGGTTCCCCAGAACCGACAAACACCCGTTCTTAGCCGGCCATATTTATAGTGGAGGGCAATACCACTTCGCCAGGCGGGGGGAGGAGGGACCGAAACCTTTTTGATGGCGCCTCGCAGAGGAACGGCGCGCGCTCACTCTTCCGCCGCGTGACTGCCCCTACCACTTTGGGTTGACGGTGTCACCCGGTGCGGCTCACTGCGCTGGGCTCCCGTATTCTACCTCATATAGTATATATCTTCCCCCCCCCCCGCTTCCCTGCCAGCATCTGGGGAACAGGGCCGCGAGCACGCCCGTTCTGAATGCTTCCAGAAAGTCCGCTGGAGGCGCCATATAGGTCCCGCCCGCCAAATATGTCGCGCAGTGACCGGCCGCGCAGGCGCGGAGCAGCGTGCGGGTGAGCGTGTTGCGTCACGGCGTGGCGGCATCCGGCTCGCGCTTGCCCGGTGTGTGGGAGCAGCAGGAGGAGTTGCAGCCATGTCGGCCATGGGGACTTTGGCGTTTGATGAGTATGGGCGCCCCTTCCTCATCCTCAAGGATCAGGAACGGAAGACGCGCCTTATGGGGCTCGAGGCGCTTAAGGTGAGCGGGTTGGGGCCGCCGATCCGTCCACGGGTTCTCGCTGGGCGCCGCGCCATGCTTCCGTTAGGGGCGGGGAACGGGCGCCGTTAGGCCTCAGCAGGAGGATGGAGCTTGGTGGGGCGAGGCGGTGCAACTCTTGTCTTCTGTCTCGTGTCAGGAGCACCTGGGCCTGCAGGTGAGGGAGGGATGGGGACAGGGCGGAGAAAACATCGCCCCGAGGCTGCGAATCCGCCACCCGCGGCATGAGGTGTATGAGGTCTCCGTGGCTGCGGGGTCCTTTACCCTGTAGTTTCGGCGCGCCCCTCCCAGCGCCTTCTGGGCGCGGCGGGCAGGGAGGCTCCTCGCAGCCTCCTCCTTTAGATCCCGCTTTTTTTCCCTCTGTCTGAAGCTTGCGTTGCTTTTTTCTGTTGTTTCGCCTTTTTTAAATTTTGGGGCTGTAGTGCTGCCTCCTCTGCTTTGGCAAGCTGTAGCGGTTCATATGCAAGCAGTGCAAGAAAAGGCACAGAAAATGTTTCTGACTTAAAAGCAATACACATACATTGACTTCTTTTTCACTCTTAATTAGCTTATGTCAGTTAAATTACAAAATTTGTGTTAGCAGCTTATCCCTATGTTTTTTTAGCTTAATATTATGATCTTGGGATGTATAATACTGACTTGACTTAATTTTTCCATTGTTTTATAGTCTCACATAATGGCAGCAAAGGCTGTAGCGAGTACTCTGAGAACATCCCTTGGGCCCAATGGTAATAATAATTTTAATGCTTCTTTTTCAGTAATTTTTTTTGTGGATTTTCTGTATTTCATACTGTGGTTATATTTTTAGGCTTGGATAAAATGATGGTGGATAAAGATGGTGAGGTGACTGTGACAAATGATGGTGCTACCATCCTGAATATGATGGATGTGGACCACCAGATAGCCAAACTTATGGTGGAGCTGTCTAAGTCTCAAGATGATGAGATTGGGGATGGGACCACTGGAGTTGTTGGTAAGACAAGGTTTTAAATTTAACTTAGATTTTCCAGCTTTAACATCAAGCTTATTTAGTTATTTTAAGAAATTTTATGTGAAGTAACAGTAGCTTTTCTTTAGCACGTTCTTAGAGTGTTTACTATTTCAGTATTCTTGTCAGTTCCTGTATTAGAAGCCTTGTGATAAGAAAGACTTCTGTGGTTACATTTTAAGTTGGTGTTGAGAGTCCTCTTTGTACTTTCAAAATTTTTTCTTCATGGTTTTCTTCCATAACCTTCTACCTGTCCTGCTGTGGTGGCCATGTGGCTTTTTGGTCTAAGAGCATGCAGTTTTCTTTGTATGCATAGCAAGTTCAGGGTTGTTCAGGGTTATTTTGTCATTCAGGAAAACTTGAACTGTTAAAATACTACAGTAAAAATTAAAAGGTGTACTCTTTAATCTTTTGATAATGTATTAAAGTTGATGCTGTAACCTGTGGAAGAGTAAAAGTTATTGTAAAATTTTGTTTTATAGTTCTGGCTGGAGCCTTATTGGAACAGGCTGAGCAATTGCTGGATCGTGGTATTCATCCCATCAGAATAGCAGACGGTTACGAGCAGGCAGCTCGCATTGCCATTGAGCATCTAGACAAAATCAGTGATAGCTTTACAGTTGATCCACAGAACATTGAACCACTGATCCAGACAGCAAAGACAACCTTAGGCTCTAAAGTGTAAGTCACACAAACTTCAGAAAAATGTATCCGTTTCATTAAAAATGCTTGAAAGGTGAAACCCTGGTGGTTTGGTGGTTTATTAAATTGTTTGCATTATTGGAGTGGCTGCCAAAGGCTTTTTTACGTTTGATTTTGGCTAATTTCTCAATGGACTTATGTCTCCGGATAAAAAAATTGTGCTTTTTCTCTAACGGGACAATTCTTTGATGTTAAAGAGTGCAAAATTAATTCTAACTTGATAACTCCAGGTTTCTTCATCATAGCAAATTCCAAGAGTAATGCAAACCTCTTAAAAATAATTGTGTTACATTTCAAAGGTTGGTTTTGGATTTTTCCTAATATTAAAAAAAAAAAAAAGTTTGTTAGATTGTTTTATAACTACATATTTCATTATAGGTTCTAAGTGTATATAAATTCAGACATTGTAAGTGCTTTGCAGAGCTGTCTTTTTTATGGTAGTTTAGTGGTTTCTGTGACTTCAGTGTTTCTTAACAAGTTCTTGCTTCTTTCAAATATGTATTTTGAGACCATGTCCACAAAGACTACTTAGACAAATCATGTTGTGTGTTCTGTTTTCTGCTGTATTTAGCACCTTTATTTCTGTGAAAAAAAAGGAGGACCCCCTGTTTTGTACAAAAGTTGTTAGCTGTATTGATAGTTTTTCTGTTCAGTATTGATAGAATAGCTTTTTTCTTCTAAACTGTGGAGACATAATGCAATTTTGTTTTTTTTTAAACCTAGAGTTAACCGCTGTCACAGACAAATGGCAGAAATTGCTGTAAATGCTGTACTGACAGTAGCAGATATGGAACGTAAAGATGTTGATTTTGAGCTGATCAAAGTACAAGGCAAAGTGGGTGGTAGACTGGAAGATACACAGTTGGTTAAAGGAGTGATTGTGGATAAAGATTTCAGTCATCCACAGATGCCTAAAGTAAGTGATATCCCTGTTTGCATCTCATCTGTAATGGTCAAATAACATTGTCTAGTTCACTCCAAATGCTGTCCTAGCATTTTTTAAGTATTTAAACAGTGCTGCAGTTTGGCTTGGTTTTTCAACCATATACCAACAGAGGAAGGGGAGAGGAGCATTACATTGTGTTGGAAGAGACCAAGGTAGAATTTTAGAACAGTCTTGAGAAATGATGGCAGGAGGGATCACTGTATGGCCAAGTGAGGACAGCTGTATAGTTCTGTTTTGAAGCAGAAATCATCCGTAATGTGTTTGAGATGCTTAATGCAACTTAGTATCAAGAAATGCTTCTTAAGCTTTATGAAGCTTCTTAAGTTTTGCCTCATTGTCCTGTTTGGAACAGGAAGCTCTCCTTCTATTGTATTTGGTGTAGGTAAGGTCTACAAGTCTTTGTGCAGCATGCTTCAGGAACGAAGGATGCAATTTTAAATTTTTACCCTTCTAAAATATTTTTCTAGTAGTTGATACTGTTTATCCTATAAAAAGGATGATACATAATATCAGTCATGTACATAAAAGGTGGTTGTAAAGATGAGTATGTAGTCCTTCTAGTAGTCACAGTGGATTGGGCAAATAACAGTTTTACAGAAGATTTTTTCTATTTGTATTTTTTTAATGATAAAAAGACACCAGTGGTAGAGATGGTTATAGGCTTAAACAAATGTCTAAGCTGTGAAATTTGTTCTAGGTGGGTTAGAGACTTCTGAAAGTATTATTTAGATATAGTTAGTTTCAATTTAGAGTAAGTCAAATGATCTTTGAGTTTCCTTTTATCTCCCTGTGTTTTTATACATGTCTGTATGTTTTGCAGATACAAGGCAGAGGTGTTACTGAGGTCAAAACTCAACTTTTTTTATTCCATTTTGGGTTTTTTTTTTTAATTATACAGGAGCTTAAAGATGCTAAAATTGCAATCCTTACTTGTCCATTTGAACCACCTAAGCCTAAAACCAAGCATAAGCTTGATGTCACATCTGTGGAGGATTACAAGGCGCTGCAGAAATATGAAAAGGAGAAGTTTGAAGAGATGGTGAAACAAGTAAGATTGTTCCTCTGTTTTCTACGTTTTCCATGACTCTTACACAAAATAGCATAGTGTAGTGTTGTATTTTTGGAAATGAGCTAATAATCCTGATAGGAGGCAACATCCAACCAATAATAATAAAAGTTACGGTGACATAAGAAAGATACCACACTAGTTTGAAATTAACATTGAACTTTGTATATGCCAAGTAGTTCTTTTTTTTTTTTTTACTTACATTCTGATAAAATGAGAATTAAAATCATGAAGAGATTGCTTTTCTTTACTGTGTTAGTGCTGATCAGGAGATTGATGTTGTATGTTGCTTTCAGATAAAAGACACCGGCGCAAACCTTGCTATTTGCCAGTGGGGTTTTGATGATGAGGCAAATCACTTGCTGCTCCAGAATGAGCTGCCTGCTGTTCGTTGGGTTGGTGGAGCTGAAATAGAAGTAAGTAAAATCTTCTACAATTGAGCTCTGTAGCAGTTCTCAAAACATTTCTTAAGTATCATTCTGTACCATTTAAAAGTTTGGGCTTTCTGGGTAGAACTGTGTAATTAGGTGTATGGGTAGGTATTGGAGAAAAACTGTAGGGAATCTGTGGGAAGAACCTACAATGAATGTGATTATGCTTTACGATATGAGTGTGTGCATATTGGCTAGGAATATTTCTGCTTTTAGTCTTGCTCTTTGCAGAAACAAGACATCACCTGCAATACTTTGAAGTGATGGGTAGATAACCTTTTGGATTAGGCATTTGACAGAATCTCTCCCACTAGTTTGTTATGAAAAAGGCAATTGAAAAGTCTTCTCAAAATAATTGATGGTTCTTTAACTTCAGTTAATCGCCATTGCAACTGGAGGCCGCATTGTTCCTCGCTTCTGTGAACTCA